TCGTTATGCAGTCCCCATAGTTTGATCATGTAATTATTTTGTCATGTTTTTTGTAATGCAAGTTTGTATAAAAACAACAGGATGTACCTACATATACTAATCTGGCAAACCGGGAAAACTTGGAATCATCAGAGTTTTATAGATCTGGGAATGTCAGGAAAATATTAGGGAATTTTTCAAATTTATTGAAATTTATAGAATATATTCCGAACGCCTAATAATAAACTAAAGAAAATATTTTACTTTTCATCCTTTATAAGACAAAATGGGGACTCATTTTCCTGCTTAAACTATTTAGATTAGGAAAACAAAATTTAATTACAGTATTTCTTTTTAGGCAGCAATTAAATAATAAGACGTTTTTTTATATACAAAAATAAATGTTAAAGTTCTGGTTTTAAATAAACAAAAACAAATTTATGTATATGTGGACATATACTTACATAAAATTTGAGTTGTGATTGGAAAATGGATATGAAAATATATGAATACATTTTTATCTGAAAATCTGGAAATATTACGAAATTATTCGGTGAAAATTGGTATAAACGCTGAAATAATGTAAAATTTTATCAGGATTAAAAGAACTGATATGTCACAGGACCTTCACGAATTGCTGTTACTTAAATAAAAATTCTACTTCGGGTATATTGCTGCAGACTTGTTTATTTTTGGTCTCAAGATTTATAAAATATTTGTTTTTAATTTGATCGGAAAATTCGATATAACCGAGATGGGATAATTTCCTGAAAACAGGGGTAAACACAATAATGCTTTTAAAAAATTCAATCGATACAGTAGGTGGGTTATATAGGGTGAAATGTGCCTGCTTTGAACAGCTCGCTGGAATGATCCGTTTGAGACTTGACACGGTGAAAAATGATGGCTGTATTACGCCTTTCAGTATGGAATGCTGTATCCAGAAGTTGAAAAGCCGGTTAATTTTTTTTTTATTAATCCGAAACATTTTGCAGATAACAAAAGAGGAAATATGGAACAGTGTATATCATCAATAAAACGCACGTCTCGCTGCTAAAAATTTTGATAGAATAAACCTTCAGCAAGTGTACATGTTGTCCCAATATTCAGTGCTTATGGAACTATCACAAATTCATGGAGTCACATTGAGACAAAAGTTTACTCTCAATAGATTGGCAAAAGATTTTCATGCCCCAAGAAAGCAAGTCGTCTCAATCCAATGTCAAATATGAATAAATATATTAATCTTGATTTAAGATATCCTTTTTAGGCAATGGTTTAAGGAAAAAAATCAGGATTATTAATTAGTAAAAAATAACTATACCAAAGTACATCCTTTCGTATCAGTAACTCTCAGCCAATAGGAATATATTTAGATTTCTTTTTCATAACATAATTTTGCTCTTACCGAGGGTAAAAACAATAACAATAACGTTTTTCGAAAAATAAATGTTTATATGTATATTTGGCACACCCTGACTATATTGTATATTTCTAGCGTTGCCCTGTAATTTGAATTGAAAATATTAACAGAAGGCTTGAAAAGTGCTTTTTCATTCTCAATACATCATCTTCATTATCCATGCAAGTCAATTTAAAAAATAATAATTGTACCGATTTATAATTATTGGAGAATCATTTATTCTGTTTGCGTTTCCGAATGGCATGCATCTTTAATGTAATAATCGATGTTGCAAGAGGATATCTGTAACAGCTTTTATTAGTAATTAAATTTTCACAACTGTTGCCACCACAACGGCCGCCACTAAAAAGCGATTGTGACAAAAGGATGAATCATTTACCTGAAGCGTACAAATGAGCAACAATTCCTATTATATCATGCGTTTCCTGCTTTGTTCCCAGAAAAAGCCATACTACCTACTACTATTCAGTCCGTGCCGCTGAACATACGTCCTTCATTTCCACGTGCAGTCACACATATCAAAACCACAATAACGTCGGCGACATCATCATCATCATGTATGCACCGTTGCTCCGTGCGGAACAATCAACGAATCAACCTGTGGAATAGTGCAAGCAGCGGTTCATTCGTCGGACTTCATTCAATCTAAAACGGCTTTATTGATTAGATAGAAACAGGTCAATAGGTTAACTACTAATAATAAGTAAGACACAATGCCTCCTGCTGCTGGGTTCTACATGAGTCAGCTCGTTAAGCGAAATGTTGACTGGTTAATCAGTCTGAAAGAATTCCAATAGGAAACATGAAAGAGCGGAGGACTGTATCTGCAATGACTGGGTGGTTCAAAACGCAAACCGCTATATAAAAAAATTGGAATGATTTAGCTTTAACGGAGCTGCATTGGTGATTTTGAAACAAAATTTTTGCATCGATTTCTTAGTTTCAAGACGTAATGTGCCAGGGCGACCAAGTAACCTTCAAAATGTATACTGATTCCGGCTTATTAGAAGATTATTAATATTTATTCCGACGTATTCCTACTTATTCCAATATACAAGGTGTAAGAAGTTTGACTGCCATAACTTCAGCATGAGATAGAGTAATCATAAATGAACAAAAAAGTTGTATATTACAGGGGCGTAAGATTAACAGTTTTCAAAATACAGCGAGTATTAATATTGGGGAGTTTCATCTCAACTTGACGACAGCTCTTAAGGTGATGCACACTACGTGTGCAGACTTGTCCTACGGAAAAAATGTAAACAACTATTATTGTGAAACATTTAGTAAAAATTTCAGGACGATTGTTTTCCAGTTTTTAAATAAATAAAATAAAATGTATCGATTTTGTAGTATGAAGATAGTGTTGTGCCTAAATTTTAGGTTGAATTTTAGTAATTTTGAATATCTTAAAACAGAAACTTAACTTTTAATCAAATAATGAATTTGAAAAAATATGTAATTAAAGTACGCAAAGATTCACGTCATCCAAATAATCATACGTATTAAAAATAATTTAGGTACTTCTCTTTTGAGCTGCCTCTGACCTTAGAAGATTCAACTGGTTTTTTTATTTATGTATGATGGGTGAAATGTATTAGAAACTTAATTAAACTACCACAATGAACGTAGATTTATAAATATACATTTTAAAAGACAGGGCTGTATTTTTAAAAAATGACGATGTTGATGATAATAAATTGATTACGAAACGTCAAAACTAACAATTTCATAAGAGCCTAAAGACAAGGCTCCTTTGCATCTGATAACATAAAAAAATAATATGCTGATATAAATATTTGTCCTAAAATTTCATCTTGGCAAATTTATCGTCCTAAGGACTGTGGTGTCATTGAAATTATTTTTTCAGTTTCATACATATCTTTTTACATTTTTTGCCGTGAGAGTTCTCATTTTTCTCAACAATTTTTATTAAAAAACCTTTTCTCAATATCTTTTCCCTTTCAAAAGATATAATATGATAATGCTTGCAGAAAAAAAACAGTGGTTCCGTCAAGTCTGCTACTGATTTTATCAGGCTCGGCTTTAGGAGGTTTGAACCGGTAGACACATTGAAACATTTTTTTAATAAAAGTTTTTGAGAAAAATTTGAACTTTCGTATGATGTAAAAATATGAAACGGGATAATCGGTAAGTTGAATAGTTTACAAGTTATGGCCTTATAAACTAATTAACTAATTATTAGTCTGGACGATCCTGAGCATCTTCCACAATCGCACTGATTTTTTTCATGGTAGATTTCATAATAATACATTGAAATCTATCATTTTTTTTAAATTTGAAATTTGCAACCTGGAATTTTTTTTATTTTTTAGCATCAAGTTGCAAAAATAGTTATAAATTCTTACATATTCGGAAAGCTTATGAAAAGAGCTTTAAGTTAAAAAAAATTGTCAAGATTCGTTGAAAAACAACGGAGTTACAGACTGTCAAATACATTATTTTTAAGCGAATTTCGCTTTTTTAACGGCAGGACTATGAATATTATCGTCATTTTCTTCGGACTCGCTGTCGTTCGCTTCCCCCACCCTTCCGCCGCGCCACGGCTCGCCGAAAAATCAAACGACCCTCTGACTTATAACAATATTTCTTATATACTTAACATAGTTTCACAAATAAAATATTTTCATCTGGGAAAGTACTCTGGTTGCCGGTTATGACAGTATTTTTTTTTGCCGCTACCAACCAATTTGTTTAACAATAGGCCGTCAACTTTGATAGTCTGTAACTCCGTTGTTTTTCAACGAATCTTGACGATTTTTTTTTAACTTAAAGCTCTTTTCATAAGCTTTCCGAATATGTAATAATATATAACTATATCACGCTCGTGCGTCGTATATTTCATTTTGCAACTAAGGCTAAAAAATAAAAAAAATTCCAGGTTGCAAATTTGAAATTAAAAAAAAATGATAGATTTCAATGTATTATTATGAAATCTACCATGAAAAAAATCAGTGCGATTGTGGAAGATCCTCGGGATCGTCCAGACTAATAATTAGTTAATTTGTTTATAAGGCCATAACTTGTAAACTATTCAACTTACCGATTCCAGATTTCGTGTGAGTTATTAGACAGTGATAAGGAATGAGAGGATGCGATGCCAAAACGTTCTGGTAATAATAACGCAGTTTATAAATGTTTAATTCAAAAGTCATAAATAAATTTCTTCTGTTTATAACTTTTGATCTAATCAATATTTTTTGACGCTCGAGGGCTAGTTTTGTAGGTCTTTGGAAGACGAAAAAAAAATATACATATATATTACTGTTTTCTCGTCTAAATGAACGGAAAAAAGTTATAAGCGAAAACCGTGAATTTACGTAAAAATTATACAATTAACCACAATCTTCCCCCCATTTTTATGACTGTGGAAACTAATATGTTATGGTACATAATATTTAGCATCCATAGTGATAAATTCAGCATGCTGAAACAAAAAGTCGCGTCCAACTCTATATTTCCTGGCCTGTTTAAAACAATTAGTTCTTAACAAACTGCAAACAAATTAATTTGTTTATTGCTTGTTCTATTAAGTAAACCACTGCACTGATAATCTAGATAAAAAACCTAGAAATAGCACTGTTTGCATCTTGCTTCTACCATTCGATGTATTGTTTTATTTGTTGTTGCAGATGGATTTCCAACGTTCAGGTCTTCGTTCCCCGAATGGTGCGACAGTTGCTCCGAGCTACTGGATACCTCCGGCGGGACCCTCACTGCTCCCACGGGACCGGATCCGCTGCCTCTCATGGGGTTGAGGTCGCTCCGCATTTCCGCTCCTCCGCTGCACCGGCCCCACAGAAGCTGCGACAGTCTCTCCTCCACGGCCAACAGCTCCACCGACAGTTCCGATACAGATGACAGATGTGATAGTTCACTAGGTATGGATCATATCATAACCTCGCGAGCGCAAGGATTGCATATTTTGAGTATTCAAAATTATGTACTCTTATGTGTTTTGTCCTAATCGCATTACCGTAGAAAAATTTTGATTTTGACGTTTAAAAAATAAGGAATTGTGGATTGTTTTTATTTTTATCATTTTATTTTTAATAATACCTAAATTAAAATATTATTCAAACGTCATCTCACCAACCCTGACACACATTTTTTTTTCAAGCCCTCTGTAACAATTTTGTATCGTATCTTACCAAATATTGGCAATATTTACTGTCTCGTGGCCATTAGTGTGGGCACAAATTTATTTTTAACATAATGTCGCTCTTCCCATTCTACTTGTCTACTTGGTTACATCATGTTTTCGACAATAACATAATCCTAACCCTTGGCCACTTCGGAATCTCGTTTTGATCATTATGAATTCTTATTTATGGGGATATTAGATACTATCAGTATATGAAGGTGCTGACTTCGAAAATATATATAAACGTCTAAATAATTTAATTTTGATGTCGATATTTATTATTATTAAAAATAAAATTATTAAATGAAATTTGTTCCTATTTATTAATTAAAAACCATATTTTAATATGACACTTTCGTAAAAATGAAAATTAAAGATTAAGCGAGCTTCAACTATTTTACATTTTCTAATTTTTTTGATCATCCAAATTTTTCTTTGGTAACGCGTTTTTTGTGACAAGCAAATTACACCAGGCAAATAAAATTTTTACTCGAAAAAATTCCTATTCGCGAGATCATTGTAAAATTGTCTAAAGGAACATAATACAAGACATCTCTCATCTCGTGAGTCAAAAAATTTTAATACCTAATTTTTCTATTTAAACAAATAAGTGAGGAAAACAGTTTTTTCACTTTGCAGGGAAAACCATCAATTTTAGCGAAAAGTGACTCACAGACAGCTTGTACGGAGTAAAATTATCTACAAAATGAGACTTGTTAAATTAAAATCGGTTAATAAACAAAAAAAGTTATTGCAAAAAAAAAGAAAAGTGCTCATTTTTTTATTTGTTTATAACTATCGCATTTATTGTTAAAATTTTATAAAACCTATGACAAGTTGAGGGTTTTGTCATACTTTAAAAGTGTGCCAAAAGTGGGCGCTGTAGGTTGCAATAGTTTTCGCACAATTCAATTTGATTATAACGGAGGCTCCAAAAGTTATGAACTTTAAGCCTCTGTACAGGCGTTAATTTTAAACCAAACATGATTTTGAAAGCGTCATTGTTATCGACGTAATTAAGCGACCTATTAAAAAATATCAACCGTTTTTTTGACATTAACATTCTCAAATTGTGCATTAAAAAACCGTGCGTTTTCCGCTTATAAACAATTTGAATAAAATTGTTGCTATTTATGCTACCTCACCGAAAATAGATTCAATGGATAGCTGGCAAAAAATACAAATTTAAAAAAAACACCCTCTACGACCAACAGGAGCCAAGATAAGATTTTTTTCTTAAATCGTAGCGCAATTGTTTATAAACATTAAGAATTTTTCGCAAAATAAAGTACTTACCAAAAAGCAAAATTCAGTAATTTTTAAATGCACAAGTACAAAACAAACTACAACATAAATGCTCAAAATGTCCACCACCATTTTCGATGAACCCACGACACTTTCAAATCCAGTGTTCGCGCACTCGCTGGAAAGTACCTGGATTTATCCTTATTTGATAGGCAGCGGCAAAAATTCGTTCCGGAAGTCTTCGACTGTCGAATTCCAGATACCAACTGAATTGCGTATTGTTGTTGGATACCTTAGTACCTCGTGTTAACCGCCGCGCCGTTGTCAAATTGCTCTATATGAATTTTATCGAATTTTAAATTTATTACAACGCTAATTATTTTTGTAGAATTAAGCATAAAGATGTTCAAAAAGTGATAAACATTGTATTTTATGGTATTCTTTGCACGCAGTTATATCAGTATTCCTTAATTAATCGAACTTTTGTATATCAAGTTGGAGATTTTAATAATTTTTTCCTTAAAAGTGGTTGAGTTTAGGACCCCAAGGTTTTTTTTGTATATTTTAATGTATTTTACCGTCTGTTAAAATTAAGGCAGTGAAACTTCTAACACCCTGTATAAGTATGGTTGCTATTTTTCAATATAATTTGAACTATTTGAGTAACCGTGTTCTTGAAGCTAAGCCTTGAATACCTAGCTGATTTTGTCAGACTATCCGGTATATGCAAGTAAACAATATTTTTCAATCTTCAACGGAATCCCTATTGGCCGGCATTGACATTTTCCGAACGAAATTATTACTAAAAATATGTCAAGTGAAATCGTTGGGACGGATCATGTAATATTAATTATAAAGAACAAAGCTGAAATTAAAACGGCTCAAAGCAATTAATTGCTATTTATAACGAAAATCTATCTACTTCTTTGGAATTAATGTCGGTTGCTCTTTGTAGTTGTACTCGGAATATCGATAAGATTTCCAACAAAAGCCGATTGAAAGGAAATTCGCATTTATAGAACAATGTCTTCATTATTCTAGGATAATTGTATTAAAAGTTACTTCATAAGTAGTATCATTAAAGTAACTGTGCCGACTGTAAACAAACAATTATTATTTTCGATCGAAGTTGTAGCAGCATGCCTAAGTTCTCGTTGAAATATTTTAGAGAATTAAATTTTTATAATGTCTCAGAAGTAGGCAGCATTTAATAAAAAAATTTATAGTCATTTTACCTCGAAACTTTTCGTATTAGACAATTACATAATTTTTTTTATAAATCTTGATGCAAATTTTGTAGATAGGTGATGTCTCTTAAAAATACTTCTCATAAAGGTCGATAGTTAGAATCTTTCCCATTGACATTTTGGTGACAGCTTGCCAACTTTTTTAAGATTTTGTTTTTCATAGTTTGTGTTTTTCTTATTACAATGTCAAATTTCATTTTACGTAAATAATGTGTCCTTGTTCCATTTGCTGAAAACACACCGTTTTAGAGAAAAACTAATGGGCCTTACTTAAATGAAAATAAATCAATTTAGATCGTTATCTTACTCCAATTTTGCTTATAGTATAAGTTATGTAATATAAAAAAGGACGGTAAATTTCTAAGGAAGCAAAATTATACTAAGGAAATTCGATCTAAATCGTCTTATTGTCATTAAAAGCTACCTTCGAGGCACATCCCATCCTTTCTGGACACCCTGTATATTAAAGAATAGAGGGTGTTAATTTTGTGGCAGTCAATTGTTTTTATTTTAAAAAGGGATATTCTAGCGATTTTAATAAAATTACCCTTGTTATGAAAATTAATTTTTTATTATATCTGAAACACTCTGTAGAGAACTTAACCTCAAAAAGTTGACATAACATGTTACAAAGAAAAGTCATAGCGAGCGACATCTAGGACTATGGTTAAATACTTATTAATTGACGTATTTATATTATTTACATCAAATTTCACACCATTCCTTTGGTTGTTAAAACATATATATCGTTTATATTTTATTTAAAAAATCATCTTTGATGCCCTATGTAAAAGGAGACGATAAGCAAATGGTCCACTGAGAAATCTGCTTATTTTTTGATGTTTTATGAACTCCTGAACTTATGCCACCTTTCTCCAAAACACCCTGTATACTTTTTCATATAGGAAATTTGCAAAAATCTTGAATATTTTTTGTTTATAAGGCTTTTCAAATTTCTACTTCGCTAATTTTTTTTTGAGATTTCAAAATATTTGCTGAATTTGTTGAAATGATCAAATCCACAATGATAATTAAACTTTAATTCACATTTTAATTAATATGTACAGAGAGATCATAGTCTATAATCCCCTTAGTTGCTTTTCCAGACAGTGATAGGGCGTCAAACGTTATTCTTAGCTGTACGTTTATTCAGCGGATCTAGACATTAGCACTCTTTATCCTACTTAAAAAGTTTTAATAAATAATATAGACAAGAATTGTGTTACCAAAGCGATATCATAACTTTTTATTTCAATAAGATAGCGAAACGAGCGTTTAAGTTTCTAATTAACCTTCCATTTCACAGCCTACTGCCTTATTTTAAATTTAAATCTATAATTCTTAGAAACATATCGGTTTATCCACATCGACGTTTCCTTTTAAATGTGAAAAAAATGCAGGGTGCGCCTTTGCCGGAAGTAGTGAATGACATACATGCCATATTTGCTGATTATCGGTGGCTCCGATTTTTTTGCTTTTTTCCCTATACGAGGCCTGTTCAGAAAATAACCGAACTTTAATTCTTTAAACTTTATTATTAATTTTATTCATTATTGGTCCTTGTGTCTTTCAAAGTACTCCTATTCCCTATTCACATACTTTTCTGAGCGGTGTTTCCATTTCCCGAAGCAGTCTGTAACGAATTTGTTCCGGTGTTATCAATAGTCTGAAATCGGCATCCTTTCAGCAGTGATTTTAATTTCAGAAATAAGAAAAAATCGCAAGGAGCCAGATCTGGCAGGTAAGTAGGGTGAGGGAAGACGGTAATCTAATTTTTGGCACAAAACTGACGTATTGACGAAGCTGATAGTGGAGGCGCATTGTCATGGTGCAAGAACCATGAGTTGTCTCGCCACAACTCTATTTTGCGGATTTTTTCACGTAACTGTTGTAAAACGCCTTGATAGTACACACGGTTCACTGTTTCACCTTGAGGCAAGAAGTCAATATGCACAATTCCATTATAGTCGAAAAAAAAAAAACAGTCAGCCTAACTTTGACACTGAATCGACGTGCTTTCTTGGGGTGTGGGGATCTATGGGGCGTGGGGCGTGGGGCCTATCCATTGTGATGACTGAACTTTTGTTTCAATGTCGTAACCGTAAATCCAGCTTTCATCTCGCGTTATTATCCTTTGAGTGAATGTTTCATCGTCATTTGATTGTTCAAGGAGTTGCCGATAAGCGTCCACACGATTTTCTTTCTGTTGTCCGGTCATCAAACGAGAAACAAATTTTGCTGCAAC